AACACTGGAGTGGCTTACCATTTCCCTCTCCAATGGATCAAGGCAAACATGCGTTAAGTTACTTGCCCATGGTCACACAGCTAGTTAGTGTCTGAGGTAAGATTTGAACTTAGGTCTTCCTGACTCCAGGCCCAGTGCTCTATCTACTGAGCCACCCAGCTGCCTCCTATGATGGCTCTCTCGGGGCTGGATTTAGAATCAACCCCAAATTCTGCATCTGACACTTTGTGACCCAAGACAAATCACTTAACCTGATTGTGCTTCGTGAACTCCTTATAGGATCATAGGGGTGTATGGAGTGTTCAGGGAGGACTAGTACCTCTAAATCAGGTTGAGGGTAACCAACAGGCCTCAACCCTATCAGTGAAGTAGGGGAATGTATACCCCAAGCACATCAAGACTTCCCTCCTGGCGGAATGGGCAGATGAGAACAATTTGTTCAACTGCCATGAAGGCAGTTGAAGCTGGCACTGTGGATCCATTAGAGGTTAGTCAGACATGGAAGGTACCAAGGTCATCCACAGCATCCCGAACTATTGTCAGTCGTCCTGACTTCTGTCTTGCCATTGGACTTCAATGACTGGAAGAAAGAGTGGGGTTGGTGACTTTGTGCAACTCTGCCTCACTTAAATCCAATTCATGAATGAGTCAAGATATCATTCCTTGATGTCATTGGTCCTATTTGAAAATGAAGGATAAACAACAACTAAGTCATAGTTGGGTTGTGACCTGTATTGGTGGAAGGAATTCCCTATGCTGATAAAACCATGGATCCTTTAAGTTATTGAGTTGCCCATTTATAAGGCCATAAAATTCCTCTCAGGCATATTGAGATTTACTCCCTACTATGTCAAGTTGAAACTTTATAGTGAAGGCTTGAATTCACAGATAAGTGCAATTTTCAAACTTTTCTTATAATTCACAAATGGCTAGTCTTAAGTCAGGAAAATATACAGTACCTACTATGAGTGTGCACTCAGTCTTATGTGACTACTGTAGTCTGTCTAGGACTATATACTGAGGCAAAAATATAAAGCTATTTGTCATTTAGGTGTATATATGCTATGATGACATGTATGCTAATGCCTTCTCTGAGGTTATCTTTTATATGTTTTATATTTGTTTTGTATATAACTATATATGAACATGTTGTTTCTTCCATTGAAGTGTAAACTTCTTGAGGGCAGGTACTATTTTTCCTTGTCTTTTCACCCCCAGGGTTTTAGCACAGTGTCTGGCACATAGTAAGCATTTAATAATTATTTGTTGTTTATTGATAATAATATAATGTAATAATATGGCATATATACCTTTTTACTTAGTTCACATTGCCTTTTATTAGTCAATATACATTTTAAGGGGGCCATCTCCAGTCATCCTGATCTGTATCTTGCCACTGGACCCAGGTGGCTCTGGAGGAGAAAGTAAGGCTAGTGACCTTTCACAGCCCTCACTTAAATCCAATTCACTTGCAAGTCATGGCATCATCGTCCTGATGTCATGGTCCTCTTTGAGAACAAAGGACAAACAACAAACTGTGAGTAGTCCAAGCTTCCCCACTGGGGACCCAACTGACCAGTTCCAGTTGGGAAATTCATCTCCTTCCTTCCTTCCTTCCTTCCTTCCTTCCTTCCTTCCTTCTTCTCTTCTCTCTCTTTGCCTCCCCTTCCCTTCTCCTTCCTCTCCCTCTGTCCACGTGGGGTACCATGCCCTTACCTGAAGGTGCTCTGCCCAAAGGAATGTAAATTTTGATGGCTGAAACCTAGCAAGATATGTTAAGGTTTACTGGCTAGACTGTTTTCTTAAGAGTATGCCTAGGGGCAGCTAGGTGGTGCAGTGGATAGAGCTCCAGCATTGGAGTCAGGAGGACCTGAGTTCACATTTGACCTCAGACAGTTGACACTAGCTCAGGGTGACCCAGGGCAAGTCACTTAACCCTGATTACCTCACAAAAAAAAAACGACAAAAAACAAACAAACAAAAAAAAAAACCCATGCCTTAAACGAATTCACTCTGGCTCTCATTGATTGGCCAACAATAGGTCCCAGCCCAAGCTGTACTTACTGGTCATTATTTGGGCCTGAAGGCTCAGAGTGAATAGTAATTGTTTTTGTTTTGGCCAGAAACCCTGGGAGTCTTTCCCTCCCAGATTGATTTTTTTTTTAAAATTAGGTAAAAGGGGCCATTCCTTGGCTCATTTCTTAATTAGCCTTAATCACCAAATGGGCTTGCCTTGGTCAAAGTGAGAACTCTGAAAGACCTTAGCTTAAAAAGGCCAAGGTCTCCTTCTGCATCGAGGATTCTCTCCAGTCCTCTTGATCTATATCTTGCCACTGGACCCAGATGGCTCAGGAGGAGAGAGTGAGGTTGGAGATCTCATGGCATCATAGCATCATCTTCCTGATGTCACGGTCCTCTTCAAGAATGATGGACAAATAACAACAACATACATACATACATTTTAAGGACATATATATATATATATATATATATACACACATATATATCTCATTATTGGTAGGAGAGAATACTATGGATTGGGACAATGTGGTAGGATAGAACAATCAACTCAAAGTCATAGGACCTAAGTTTTTCTGACTTCTCTACTTCCTACCTTTGTTTCTTTAGGCAAGTCACACTAGACTTCAATTTTCTATATCTATAAAATGAGAAAATTGGGTTAGATCATCCCAAGGTCCCTTATAGTTTTAAGTTCTATTCACCTAATCTTTTTTAAAAATCACAAAAAAATTTTCTACCTGCAAAGCCTTGTGAAAACATTCAAAACCTCATTCTCTGTCTCTCTGTTTGTCTCTCCCCCTCCATTTTTGACTGTGTCTGTCTCTACCTTCTGTAACTTTTTCCCAAGTGAATGAAAACTATTTTGAAGCCTCAACTGACTTAATAAAAATCTTATTTTTATTGGTATCTTTTGTTTTGATATTACTTTCCTTTCTGAATGCCTTACCCCTTACCCAGTGAGCCATTACTTCTTACAGATTTCAAAAGAAAGAAAGAAAAAGCATTGAACTGACTTTTATCTTCCAGGTCCTTTTATATAATTAGGACAAGTCTTAAATTTCTTCCCTAGAAATTGTCCTGTGCCATGTAGTCTGAAAGCTGACCTGAAGGATCACCATATACTTTCATAATTTTTATAGACAGCATATATAGAATATTTACTATACCATGGTAATGTTGAGTTCAGATGCCAAACCAAAGTGTTCCTTCATCTGATTCATGAAACAGCAGGTGGTGCTAAGATACAGGATTTTCCAGACCTAAAGACAAAATTCCATTCTAATAAGGATGTTCCTACCCACTCCCCTCCTTCCTTTACCTTCCTACCTCCTGATTCCTATCTCCCACATGTGTTCTAGTGTATTCTATTTAACCCTGTCTTAGGGCAATATTCAATGTGCTTTCTCCTTTTCATGTCATAATTGTGCATTTGAATAGAAATACATAGATGAATGCAAAGATATGGAGAGAATCAGAGAATTTAGGAAAGAGTGAACACCAGAGAAAAATTTCTTTCTAGATGTAGATATATATAGTTATAGCTAGGTATAAATATATTTTATATACATATGTGGAGAGAGAAAGAGAGAGAGAGAGAGAGAGAGCACCAAGCTGTGACTACTTTCCTCTTTTTCAATGAAGGGCTTGGACTAAATGATCTTTAAGGCACAGCTCTGAGTTATCTGATTCTGTGACTCAAATTCCAAAGAGAAAAAAATTTCACCTAGACTTTCTTTTTTGTCAACCAGCTTCACTTCTCCACTTGGTGCCTACCAGTTTACCTGGGTAAGAGAGTCCAGGAAAAGATGGAACCTGGGAGAAAAGGCCTGTACTCCAGGTGGCCCTAACTTCTTGATTATTCTCTTAATCTTGCCTAGCTCTGCCTCGTATGTCAAGTTGCCCCCAGCATTTGGCAGGTTCCAAGCCCTGAGCCTATAGGGGAGACTCTAAGTCACAACAGTTGAAAAGCTGGAGGAGGGGAAAAAGGAAGGGCAGAATTTTTTCCCCTTAGGCAGGTGAGTAGAACCGGCCTTGGGTAAGGACTCCCTCTTTTTCTACCAAGATATTTGTTTCTGCATAAATAAACGTTCCACCCGCCTTCTGCATGCTATATAAAAGCACCCTCGGGGCCTATCCCCAGGCACATTCTGGGAGGGGCAGTCTAAGGAGCAGGTAAGATCGTTGGCTGTCCAGTAGAGAGCAGGGCTGCAGCAGCCTTCCTGTACAGTGGGTGGGTGAGAGGGAAAAGGTGAAGAAGGGAGCTGAAGGAAAAGCATCACAGGCTTCGTTCTGTCGGGTGCCGGCCACTTTCTTCCTGAACAAGCTAACCTGGACTAAAGCCGCTGAGGTAGGAGGAGAAATCAGGGCGGGGGAGAGGGTGAGAGTAGCGCTGCTTTTGGAAGTAGGGTCCCACGAGGGCGAGGACCGATTTTCTGGAAGCTGACCTCTTTGTACGCTAGCAGATTCCAAGGTCAGTCTCTTCCCGGGGCTGCACTGTGTTCTACTGGGGGGCTGAGTTGTGGCTCCATCTTTGCTTAGTGGGAATGAGTAGGACGGTAACTTGAGAGTCGTCCTCTCCCAACTACTCCCCTTCTTATCTCTTCCCTCACCCCCGTACTCCTTGCCGCTTAGTTGACTCTTACAAATTTCAGGACCCGGACAGCGCCTCCTTTGTCCAGAATTCTGAAGGGGACCCGCGCAAAACTATCCCGAGCTCTCTTGGGGAGCGAGACACTTAGCCTGCCAAAGCTCTGAGCTCTAGGTGCTGTCCCAGTTCCCTTAGGCCATCCCATTTTGGGAATGATGCCAACGGGAGAAGGGAAATTGGGGGAAGCTCTGGCTCTCTGGGGCCGGCTGCTGAGGACAGCGGCTAGTCAGGTTCTGAAACGGCACTGATGGATGATCACTTTCCCTGGTCACGTTCCTCTCCTACTCTTTGTCCCTCACTCCCCACCTCCCTCTGTCCTCTCCCAGGGACCATGGCATCTCCACGCAGGATGGACCCGGAGCTGCCGGAGTACAGAAACTATGTGGTTTCTCGGCCTGTCTACAACGAACCCTCCTTCCTGGAGCAGCACGAGCGGCAGCTGCGTGAGCGCCAGACAGTCCGCGAGAAGCTGGTCAAATGCTGCAGGTAGCGGGGCTGTCCCCACTATCACGGGCTGGGAGTGCCGCACACGTGCCTGGGTGGGGAGAGGGACCTCTGAGCCCAGGTCGTTGGATGATGTGATCTAGGGAAGCCTCACCCGGGTGGGAACGCTCTCAGGTGTGGGTCTAACAGCGAGCCCTCTCTCTGCCTTCCCTGGGGAAAACCGGCTGGCCTTTGGTCTTCCAGATACAGGTCTCCGATTCGCATGCCGTCCAGATTCGGCTTCGTGGCCGCAGGCTGAGTCTTGTGTTCCCAGTTTTAATTTTCATTCCTCGTTCCATACCCTAGCTGTTTCGGAAAATTAAACCTCAGAGACTTTCTACTGTCACACCTTTCCGGATTCCCCTCTCTATCTGCCCCCTTTACCTCGCTCTCCCGTCCTCTCTCCCATCTCTTGCTGTTTCCCACCACCTAGCTTTTCCCTTCCACAATGCTGTCTTCTTTACCCTGGTTTCCATTCCTTTCTGATGACCTGGCAAAGGTGGAAGGGGAGGTGAAGGTTGAGGGTTTTTAAGAGAAATCCAGCCCGAGGGAGGGGAGTCACTAGGATAATCACCTGACTGAGAGTCCTTGTGCCACTGAGTATGCTAAATTACTAGTTCCAGTAGGTTATACTCTATATCTACATTTGAAAATTTAGGATCAAAATAATACTAAATAATTAGAAAGTGGTCACAAAATCACAGGAAAGGATTTGAGCCTGAGGCTATCCAATCAAAGCCGGAAACTCCAATCAATGAATTTAATCTGAACATGCAACCCAGTGGCATAAACAGGGAAAACTGAACTATTGCCAGGTTTTAAAGAAAAGGAATGTTGCAAGGGACAATTACATGGAAGTCACTTAGCTATTCATCAAGTTAGGAATCCTGTAAAAACTGGCACAAAGGGAGTGGTATGCCAAGATACACAAATCATGTTTACTTAAAGGAAAAAAGCAGGCACCTGGGTTAGAAATGTCAAAACTAATTTCTGATTACTGAGACCACAATGTATTGGGACTTTTTTTTTAGAGCATTAAACGGGTGGTCTGGGAGTGAGCTACCGGCAGAGCACTGGCTTTGGAGTGTCTCAGTCCTATTCAAATCCTGGCCCAGTCACTTATCAACCGTGTGAATCTGGACAAGTCATCTAATGTCTGTGGGCCTCAATTTTCTCGTCTGTAAAATAAAGGGGCAGGACTGGATGACTTACAGGGTCCTTCCAGTTCTAAATTCATGATCTCATAAAAGTATACTTGCACATGTGTTTTCTACTACTACAGACTCTTGAACTAGATACTCTTTCTCAGTTCTAACATTAAATGAGTCTATGATTCCTTCACTGATATAGTTCTTGGCAAATACATGATAAAAACTTAAATGATCAAAGTGAAGATGTACTTTTAATTGTTAAAACACATTTTTTCATAGAGCTCAGATTATTATTCCTTCCCCTAATGGGTGGACTGTTGTTACTCAGAATTAGATTAGAAACCTAATTTTCTTGCTTTTTGGTAGTTGTTCCAGAAGGAGGGCCATTCGGATGCTGAAGTCTCTTTTACCCATCTTGGAGTGGCTACCCAAATACCGAGTAAAAGAATGGCTACTTAGTGACACAATTTCTGGTGTTAGCACCGGGCTTGTAGCCACTTTACAAGGTAAGATTGCCTTTTTAATGTTTGCTCTTAACAGCCTCCCAGAGCTTCACACAATCATTGTAACTCCATACCCACAGTTTAGGAGATCCAGAAGGGGGGGGGGAGAGAGAGAGAGAAGCCTTTCTATCCATCCCAGCTGTTATACCACTGCTGCACAGTCTACTAGGTAAACATGTAAAGAGCAAAGTTTTCAAAGCATAGAATACATTATTCGAGGCTCACAGCAAACCTGCGAAGTATTACCATTAACTCCATTTTACAAATGAAGAATCAGAGACTGGGGAAGTTAAGTGATATACTTGAAGTTACACAGTTAGTAAGTAATAGAGATGGTATTTCAACCTACTTTTCAATCCAGCCCTATTGCATTATACCAAATTGCCTCAGAATTTCCCACTGACTCTCTTCCCCACCTCCCACCCCCATCTATAGCTAGATGTACTTCACTTTACTTCCAATCAAGCTATTTCTGAAAAGTGAATTTCTATAAAAGCTAACCTTATTATCCATACTGACTTTCATTATGAATTTAGAGATGAAATCCCACAGAAGGGAAAAAAATTTCTATTAGATGGGGAAAGATCTGAGTGAGGTGGAGGATAAAGATCCTCTGACTCCATGCATGAATATATGCACACACAAAGTTCTCACTTTCTCCATTTCAAAGATGTCTAATAGAGCTAAGTTTGCAATATCACCTTTTATCCCCAGAATTACTACAAGAAAAGTACTTTGAAAACCTCACAAACAGAGGTTCCATATAAATGGAAATTGTCATTACTGTTTTACTCTATTCTAAAAATTCTATAAAGTTTGAGGGTTTCAGGTCATATAACAACAACAGTAAGATGTTTCATTCTTGGACCAGTTCTTCAATCAAAATTTATTTAAATCAAATCTACTGAGAATGAAGATCACTGCAAAATATTAGAGTAGCAGTGTTACCTGAAAAGAACAACATTGTTTTCCAGAGCTACTTTCCTATTCCACATGCTTTGGAGGACTGATCACTCCTTATTATGAATGATTTAAAGAAAATTTCCATACCATTTGACATCATGGGTTGCTAGATTTTTCTCCCTCACTTGCCAAGTGGGATTAGGAAATTAAGCTAGAACAAAATTTGGCTGGCCCAACCAATAAACATTTAACCAAAAGATTAAATCCATATAGAGGTACTCCAGATTCTGTCCTGAGGCTATGTGATGCATAGTCCCTCCAGGCACATGCTTGGGAGTATGAACTAACCTGGGCAAGATGTAAAGACTGTGCAAGGATCCATAGTATTCTTAAGATCATAGGGCTCATGGAATTTAAGCTAGAGCGCTTTTGTTCTTTGAGGCACATTTTTAACTCCTCTCACCTATATAAGGAGTTATCCTCACAGGCTCAGGTAGCATTGCTGTCATGTTCAATTGGATTTTTTTTTCCTTTTTGCCTAGAAATAAAGTTTTTTTTTCCTCCCTAGGAAGGGGAAGGGAATTATATAACAGTAATCAGGCTCATAAAAGAGGATTGAGCTTAGCCACAAGTTTATCCACATGCAAAATTGGTTAGACCATTTGAATTGAGTTAACTAAACTCTTTGAAGAATTGATTTAACTTGTTTAACTGCTTAACCAGTACATGACTAAATTGCTTATTGATTTAGTCAATCATTTGAATAGGTGGCATGTTTAAATGCAGCCCTTGTTTCAGCCAAGTTGAATTATTTCAGCTCTGATACAGAGCTGTTCCTAGAGTTGGAAGAAGTGGGTTTAAATCCTACCTTTATTTGACAGAGGCTCTGGAATCAAAGCAACCTGTGTTCAAACCTTACCTCTGATGATTATGACCTATACAACCTCTCTGAGCCTTAGTTATTCCAATCTTCAGAATGAAGAGTTGGACCAAGTAGCCTCTAAGCTCCCTTCCAGTTCCAGATCAAGGATCTTATGAGCCCCCGTACTAGCTGTGTGACTGTGACCAATTATTCAACTTCTCAGTGTACTAGGTCACTAAGATTTTAAGTTATAAAAGAGTTGCAAATCTGTACCAGTGGAAGGAATTTCCATGCAAAGAGTGAAATCGCAGGTCTGGACCATACATCCAACACACCCACAAAATTTTATGTAGAATAAGCAGCTTAAGTTGATTTATCGAGACTTAAGAGAAGGGGATGCCCATCAATTGGGGAATGACTGAAAAAGTTGTGGTATATAATTGTGATGGAATACTATTGTGCTGTAAGACATGATCATCAAGATGATTTCTGAAAAACCTGGAAAACTGATGAAATGATGCAAAGTGAAGTGAGCAGAACCAGGAGAACATTGTATACAGTAACAGTAATATTGTACAATGATCAACTGTGAATGACTTAACTATTCTCAGCAATACAATGATCCAAGACAATTCATTTTTCTTGGGTCTTTTTTGTTTGTTTGTGTTTTCTTTCACAACATGACTAATATGGACATATGTTTTGCATGACTGCATATGTATCACCTATATCAAATTTTTTTGCTTTCTCAATGAAGGGAGAGGGTAAGGAGGGAGGGAACAAACTTGGAACTCAAAATTTTAAGATATGAATATAAAAAAATTTTACATGTAATTGGAAAAATAAAATATTAAAAGAGACTGGTAAGAGTGATTATTGGTAGAAAGCACTTTTTCAGTATAGAAGATATAACACCAACTTTTAGGTTTATAAATTGAACTGTTTTGGATGTACTTTTAGGTATGGCATATGCACTCCTGGCTGCAGTTCCTGTTGGATATGGCCTTTACTCTGCTTTCTTTCCGATTTTGACATATTTTATCTTTGGAACATCAAGACACATCTCAGTTGGTAATTATGAATATATTTCTATGTATGCTAGTTTAGCATGGACAATTAAAAACACATTGGATAATATCTAAGTCATACTTCTGGGGATTTTCTTTTGGTTTTTCAGTTGACTTGGGGTTTTAGTGACAGTCAAGTTGGTTATTTGTGTGTTGTTTTTATTTATGGGATATGCTGGGAATTGTTTTGGAAATGCAACACCCTTGTTGAAAAAAGTGATAGAACTTCTTACTTCAATAGAAAATAATTAAGAAGTGGGAAATTGAGAAAAAATGGAAACTATAGCATGTTCTAGTAGTACTTGGACTATATTCATATTCTAGTAGTACTTTGGGGAGAAAAGACCATCCTTCATAAAACTGACGCTTCGTTTAGAAAGTGTGCAAGATCTTAAATCTTGTACAAAAGTTAAGCTGAAAAGAGGAAAATCTTATAATGACTTTGAATTTGTTGTTTCACTGGATTAACTTAGAATTCACTGATTCAACAAATATGTATTAAGTGCAGAGTACTATGCTAGGCATTAGGGGAATTAGAAAATTTCAACAAGACATTCCTTTCAAAACTGAGGAGTATAAAACAAAAACACAGTGAAATCTAAAATACACAGTATTACATAAATGCATTAGCATTTTGAAGCCAAATGCTATGTGAGGACCAAGGAAAAAAAGTTATTCCTGACTGTGGAATCAGGGAAATCTTCATGGAGGAGATAAGGTTTGAGTGAGGCATCTTCTGGTTCAATAAGAGTTGTGGGACAAGGGCTGGTTCACAACACCCCACCCCCACCAACCTGAGCCTCCAGCCCTGGGGCTCAGAGTTGGGTTGGTTTGCTCAACTTGCCCCTATAGCCTGGGGCACAAGTCAAGCTGCCATTTATTGGAGTACTTGTGTATTTCTTAACCTTTTAACATTTATAAACTGTGCTACCATTTTTAAATTAAGTTCATACCTTTTTTATGTGTCACTGATGAAGTTTTTGAGTGTTGTCCTCCTAACCCCACTTTCCCCCATAAATTTTATATTCTGAGATTTTGCATAATATGGGAATGTACGTGCTGCATTATAAGGAAACTGCCTGTAGAGCCTGAAAAGTTTGTATGGTACTAGATTGTCAAGCCCAGAAATTTGTTTAGGTCTTTGAATGCCAGGTAAAGGAGATAATAGGGAACAACTGCAGATTTTTGAGTAGAGAAGTGAAATGACTAGATCTATTCATAAGAAAGATTATTCTGGCTGCAATATGAAGGATAAATTAGAGGGAATTAAGGCTGGAAGTGGGATAAACTGACTGCAGGTTATTACAGTAATCCATGGGAAACTCATGAAGACCTGAAGTAGGTTGTTACAGTGTAAACAGAAAAAAAGGGTCAGATGTGAGAAATAAGGAGTGGAAGCACTTGTTCAGCACCTATCATAGTACCTGACACAAGGTAGGCACTTCATAAAAAAGCTTATTAGTTGATTGGTTGGTTGGTAATTGATTAGATATCAGAAGAAAGAGTCTAAGATAACCAGAGGGCTGCACCCTAAGGAGATGAGATAAACAGCAGCACAACCAAAAAAAAGTGAAGTCAGGAAGAAAAGTAGTTTTAGTGGAAAGAAAAAACAATACACTTAATTAAGTACATGTTAATTTTGAGGTGGTGAGGCCCATCCTCCAGCTGGAGATGTTTTATAAGCACCTGGAGATATGGTTCTGGAGTTCAGAGGTGAGGTCAGGACTGGACACAGAGATGTTGCCACCATCAGCAAATAATTGGTAGCCAAAAGAGATGGCCAAGGGAGACTGTAGAGAAAGAGAGAAGTGAAGAGGACTGAGAGTAGAGTTTGGAGGAACACTCAGTTTAAGGATAATTTCTCCCAAATAGAATGTAAATTCCTTGATTGAAGGAACTGTTTTGCTTTTCTATTTGTATTCCCCGGTGGGTAGTGCAATGTTTAGCACATAGTAAGTGCTCAATAAATGATCATCCTTTCATAGTTTTGAGCTGGAAGAGACCTCAGAACACTAGGAAGAATAACTTTAGAATATGCCATTTCAGCATATATCTCTTCTTTCCCATGAGAAGGGATATCAAAGTTTTGCCAAAACAATTGTTTTTTTTTTTTTAACTTTTTTTTTGTGTGTGTGAGGCATCTGGGATTAAGTGACTTGCAGTCACACAGCTAGTGTCAAGTGTCTGAAGCTGGATTTGAACTCAGGTCCTCCTGATTCCAAGGCTGGAACTCTATCCACTGCACCACTTACCTGCCCCCAAAATAATCCTTAAAGCTAGGTTTAGCTCTCTTCTTTGATGTAACTCAAAATAGGGTTCCTTCCTTCTTGTCCTAAATTTTTAATTTTGTTTTGGAAGAATGTTCTAGTAAATAAAATATTAAAGCTGATCTTACTATTGAGTTTCTTGCTTCTATTAATGGCACCACCATTCTTCCCAGTCACCCACTAGTAAAACTCTTGGAATTACCCTTGACTCTGCTCTCCATTCCCTTCCTCATTCCCTGCCCTCTATCTAAGTTGTCAAGTCTTTTCATTTTTTAATGTGACTTGCATGTAGCTTCTCCTTTGAAAGCCATGTTTACTACCATCACCCTACACCTGGTCTTCTGTCATCTGAACTTCTTTAACATTCTCTTACCTGCTTTTCATCTGATATTCCATTAGATTGTGAGCTCCTTGAGGACAGGAACTGTCTTTTGCCTCTTTTTGAATCTCTAGTGCTTGCACAGTGCCTGGCACATAGTAGGCACCTAATAAATGTTGATTGATTTTTCCTATTTCCAATCTCTTCTTTGGTAGTTCTGCCTACTTAATCTTCCTAAAGTATTGGTCTAACCATGCCACTCCCTAACTCAAATCCCTTCAATTGTCTAACAAATACAGTCCAAACTTTTGAACCTTGAAGAATTATACGTTTAGAGCTAGGTCTCAGAGACCATCTAGGCCAAACCCTTCATTTTACATATGAGAAAATGGGGGCCCAGAAAATGTGATTTGCCTAAAGCTATATTGCTGAGATTTGAACCCTAGGTCCTCTGATAGTATCCAAAATGTGGCTTTTTAAAATATTATTTCCTATTAACAAAATTGGACTTTTTGCTATTCCTTAAATATGCTTCATGATTTTCTGTCTCCATGCCTTTGCACATATCTTCCTTCTGCCTTGGGCTGCTGCAAATTTGGAAAGTACTTTGCAATTAGCACAGAGTAGATGTGAACTGGGATAGCTAGGGGCACAGTGGCTAGAAGACTAGGGCTAGAGTCAGAAGATTCATCTTTGTGAGTTCAAATCTAGCCTCAGACATTTTACTAGCGATTTGACCCTGGGAAAGTCACCAAACCCTCTTTGTCTCAGTTTCCTCATCCGTAAAATGAGCAAAAGAAGGAAATGGCAAAGCACTCCAGTATACTTGCCAAGAAAACCCCAAATGGGATTGTGAAGAGGACACAACTCAACAACAACAATAACAAAAAGATGAACTGTATATTTTCAGACAAAGAATTCAATAGGCAAGAACTGGCTGGGGAAAAGAAAGCTATGGGTTCATTCGCCTTAAGTCTCTCTCTTGTCCTGGACTTTTAGATTAAAAGCTTATCTCCATGGTAAAAACAAACAAACGAACAAACAAACACAAACTACAGTCTCCTCTCACAGTTCCTTATCTTGTTTTGAACCCTGAAAAACTGAGCAAGACATTGGGTTAATTCATCCCCAGACAGATCAAAACACAGAATAAAATGAGAAATGGGCTCATATGGGATGGAAATAAGCATATTGTGGAACAAAATGAAAGTAAGATCAATATGTGTGATCTGAGGAATTGGGGTTTTGACTTTTTTGACTGAATGAATAAAAATTTTTTTCTTAACTAAGGTGCTGGTTATTGGCATATTGCTGATGATAATACATAGACATTTATAATTCTTAATTGACTAATGACAAATTAATTCCTGTAATTTCTAGGACCCTTTCCTGTGGTCAGTTTGATGGTGGGATCTGTTGTTCTAAGCATGGCCCCTGATGAACAGTTTATCTTGCCTAGCACCAATGATACAGTCGACAACATTACCAGAATAGACTCTGGTGCCAGAGATGCAGAGAGAGTGTTAATTGCCAGCACCCTCACTGTTTTAGTAGGCATTATACAGGTAATGTATCTCTATGGCAAGTACACATTTAAGTCATGATTTCTTTATTAACTAACAATACTGGAGAGTCACCAAGGTATAGTGAATGGAGGGAGAGCCATTCTTGGAGTCAGAAAGTTCTGGATTTAAATTCTCCCTCATAGGGCGCCTGGGTGGCACAGTGGATAGAGCTCCAGTCTTGGAATGAGGAAGGCCTGAGTTCAAATCTGACCTCAGACACTTGATAATTCCTAGCTGTGTGATCCTTTGCAGGTCACTTAACCTGGATTGCCTCACCAAAAAGCAAAAAAATTAAATAAAAAAATTATCCCTCATTCTAGCTGTCTCCCTCTGGGCACAAACTCTTTGGGTTTGAGTAACCTTTCAGTTATTCTTTGAGCAGTTCTTTAAGAATTGAAATTACAGATGAGTTGCCAATCACCATTGGTGGAGGGGATTTCTACACCACACTAATGAAATTACAGGTCCAGAACAAAAATGCCATTTGATTTTGTAGAGGCATTTTTGTGTTTGATGTAGTATGGACTGTCATCAAATCATCAAAGCTTCTTATTGGACATAGGTTTGAATCCCACCTCTGACTCTTACTGGAAATGTGACCAAGGACTTGTCACTCAGTCCCCAGTTCAAGATTTTTCTCTGACACAAGCTATTATGTTCATACCATAGCTGGCCTATCACTTCTTCTCTCTAAGCTTCAATTTCCTTATCTGTAAAATGGGGGTAATATCTGTAAGTATTGCCTCATAGGGTTGTTGTACGGATAAAATGATATTGTATGCAAACTTTAAGGGCTAAACAGGATATCTAATCTATTTAATCTATTAAATTTTATAGAGGTACTTAAGCTATTATAGCTTTGCAGTAAGATTTAACATTACCTTGCAGTAAGACTTTGGGAACACTCTCCATAAATGTCAGTTATTTTTACTACTACTAGTATAGCTAAGTCATTTAGCCTTCCTGAGTCTCAGTTTCTTTACCTGTAAAATGTGGAGAATAATACCTGAAATATCTCTTTCACAGAGTTGTGAAATAACTGATGTATCTTTAAAGACCTATATATATATTCAAGTATTTTTTGAGCACTTACTATGTGCCAGGCACTGTCCTAGGTGCTGGGGAAACAAGGACAAAATTATTGCCAGATATGAGACTGTAGCTCAGCATAGTAAAAGGACTACTAAGCAGCCCTGGAGTCACAAAAGACCCAGTTTTGAATCCTGTCTCTTGAACTTATTAGCTGTGCAACCATGGGAGAACCACTGAATCTCTCTGATTGTCCCCATTTTATAGCATCTCCAGGGTTGTTGGAAGGATAAAATAAGATGGTATATGGAAAGAACTTTGTAAACACAAGCAGCACTATGCAAATATCAGCTAGAGGCAAAATATTAGCATTTTTCATTCATTCCAAGCAAACCATTTGTTTTTCTTTCTCTCTTCTTGTATTAGTTGGTATTAGGAGGTTTGCAGATTGGATTCATCGTTAGATATCTCGCAGACCCATTAGTCGGAGGATTCACAACAGCTGCTGCCTTTCAAGTATTTGTCTCACAGCTGAAAATTGTCCTCAATGTTTCCACCAAAAATTATAATGGTGTCCTCTCAATAATATATGTGAGTAGTTTTGCTTTTTTTTTTTTTTTGATCCTGCCAGTGCTGATCTCAGGTAGTATCTATTCTTTCTCTTGCTATCAATACATTCAGAAGTATTCAGTATAAGACTGAGGAAAGACAGGTGGCCCAGTAGTTAAAAGACCTAATTTTGAATCCTGCCTTTAGATACTAGCTGCATGACGTTGGGCAAATCCGTTAACCCTTCTCAGCCTTAGTTTTCCCATTTGTTAAGAGGGTTAATTGTTCTACCTACTTCATAGGATTATTGTGAGACTCGAATGAGAAAACACTTGCAAAATGCTTAGCAAACTCTAAAGCACTATATGAATTAATATTACTTGCTCACCAATGTCATAAAGGAAGGATTGGATAGGGTGGGAGAGAGTGGAGAGAAGAAGACCTGTAAGGAGTCTAATGCAACAGTCTTGGAAATGGTAATAAGGGGCTGAACTAGGGCAGATTGTGGGAATAGAGAGAAGGCAATGGAGGTGAAAGATGTGGAGATGAGGAAATAGGACTTGATAACTGAGAGGTTATGAGGTTATGAGAGGTGATGGGGAGGAAAGAATCTGAGATAACCCTAAAGTCCTGAACATGGAAGATGAGGTAAATGACTGAGTTATAGACAGAAATGGCATAGTCAGAAGGAGCAACAGGTGGTTGTTGTTGTTTTCCTTGCTTCTTTTCCTACCGAATCTCTTATTTTTTCTGTGCCTACTTGGTGTATTGCTTCGATAGATCGGGTGACCTCATCAATTCTATATTCCCCTCCCCCCACCCTCATTAGTGGAGATCACAACCCCCATGCCCTTTCATCCATGGTGACTCTTTGCCTATAATTCTGAAATCCTCTCAATGTGTTGGGATCTTCCTTGAAATCTCTTAACATGAAAAGGTCACCTACACAGTGGACATATGCTGTCTCATGATTATCACTAACTTTTGTTACATGACTGACCCAACTCCATTTCCAGTCATAAATGGAATTATTTCACATAATTGATCAACTATAATACAGGTGATTGACTATAATTACAGTCTAGTTATGCCCGATGTGCATCTATCCATTGTCCTTCATGTGGCACAAAGACTAGTATAGTACATGATTCAGTGTGATATAGCATTACCCACAGATTGTTAGTGTTAAAAAAATGGATTTTTGTTTCATTAGGAAGCTTGGGTACTTGAAAGCACTTGCAATTTCCTGAATTCAATCCATCTACATACCTTTTACACTGACTAATTCTGGCTTACTCCTTTATTCTTCCAACCCCTCAGTTATCTCACTGTCATATTCTTCAGATCAGCTTGTCTCTATACCTAAGTCTCCTGGGTTCTGAACCCAGGATATTGCCCTGTTTTTTGAACTTAGGAGGAGGCCTTTCACTAATCTCTGTCCTACGTGGCTATCCAGGAACTGAACTCCTTAACAATCCAATCTCTTATGACCACAGATCCTCTGGCAAATAGCGACATTTTGTCTCCAGGAACTGCATTTCAAGCTAGGCGTGACTACAGATCCATTTTTGGATAAAGAGATGGTTATTGAAACAAGAAAAGTGAAAAGACTGAGCCGACATTGGATAGATTTATGATATAGGCTTAGTGGTCTATGTGAGCTAGTTGAAAGCAACAGCGTAGAAAACAAATGTGATGGGCAAACTGCAATGTTTGGGCACCCATCTTATTTTCACATGTGTGTGTTTTTGTTTCCTTTCCACACAAGCCTGTTTTTCACTTTATCTGGTGTCCTGATTTTCTTGAGATGAATTAAGCTGACAACTTGTTCAAAATTTTAGTAGTTAAAACTACTGAAGGCCAGAAGGAGGCTTTTGTAGAAATCTATGAAATAGTTAAGACTAGACAGCAGATGTAGGAAAGGGGATTAGGGTTGGATAGAATCATAGAAACTAGCAAAAGGAAAGAGTAGGAAGGGGAACGGTGGTGTGGCAAAGCTTTGAGCAGTGAAAGGCCAATGAAATGACAAAACAAAACTATAATCCCATTAATAAGGTAAGTTTTAAGAGAGCCCTTTTGCGGTCCCCATTATTCTTAGAGTTCTAGGAGAGCCTCCTCAGGGCCTGGCCAAGTTGTATGGAGGTATTTGAGCTATTCCAGTTTAATACTGAATAAGGTGTGTTCTTTTGATGTGAATCAGGAGCCTAGAAGCCCTTTCATAATAGTCCTATGAGTTAGGTAACTTTGGAGAATAGAACTTTGCTTCTGGTGTTATCAGTCATGATCATTCACAACAGAATCCTTCAACAAATTCAAAGGAGCAGCTGTCTCCTTAAGGGAAAACTGAAAGATTGTTGTAAGATATTTCCTCCAGGAATGTGGCTAATTTTGTCTCTCTCTCTCTCTCTTTTCCCGTGTTTTTCTCTGTCTTCTCTTTTTCTATTTCTCTTTGCTCTCTCTCTCTTTCTCTTTTTGTCTTTCCTCTCTTTTTCTCTTTTTCTTTGCTCTCTCTCCTCTCTGTCTCTCTCTCCTTCTCCTGCTATTCTCTTTCCTCTCTCTCTTTTTCTATTTCTCTTTGCTCTCTCTTACTTTCTTTCTATTTTTCTTTCCTCTCTCTTTTTCTCTTTTTCTTTGCTTTCTCTTTCTTTCCTCTCTCTCTGTATCTTTCCTTTCTCTCTCTTCCTCTCCTCCCTCTCTCACTGTGAGCTTTGTGTCCTGAAGTACTGACGGCTAAATATAATGAAGACAAAGAAATTGAAGAGGAAATATTAGACTTAAATGAAGGGGGAAATCTTTAAAAATCTAATTAAAAAAATACTGCAAAGGGGGGCAGCTAGGTGGCGCAGTAGATAGAGCACCGGCCCTGAAGTCAGGAGGACCTGAGTTCAAATCTGGCCTCAGACCAAACACATGACACTTACTAGCTGTGTGACCCTGGGCAAGTCACTTAACCCCAATTGCCTAAAAACAAACAAACAAACAAACAAAAATACCGGAAAAACTAGAGGCAGAGAGGAAAACGAAAAGTTAAAAAAGGCTCTTGCAAGACTTTCCTCAGAGAATTTCCTAAGAGAAAGATAAAAAGATGATCTTGGCTACAATTCAAAATTATTGCCATGTATCTTGCTTATTTTGAAGGGCACCAGAACTGCAATTTCATTGGCACAGGTCGCTCTCAGTGAGGAAACGCTTTCTGCCAATGAAAGAAATACCTACTATGCAACTTAAGAGTGTTTGGGTATTGTCTAGGGTACTGAAGGGTTAAGTGACATTATCCCTACTCATATGGCCAATGAGAGCCCAGGTCTTGTCTGACTCCAAAGCTGGTTCTCAATCTACTGTGCCACATGGCTGTTCTTCATCCTGCTCATGTAAATAAAGTCCAAAGTCTCTTTTTTGAAGTTATAGTTTTATTTTCAGTTATCAAGGACTTTTTCTTTCTCTTCTTTCCCCCTCTCCCTAGGGGTGACAAAGAAAAGAAAAAGAACTAAAAAAAACCCCCAAACAAACAAACAAACCAAAACCAACCAAACTACAAAACCCAGGTCAAGCAAAACAAATTCTCACATTGGCCAAGTTCAAATATGTGTGTCTCATGCTGTATGTTATCCTATCACTTCTCTATCATGAGATGGGCAGCATTCTTCATCATGAAGATGATGAAATCATGCTTGAACATTGTGTGATCAGAGTTCTTAAGTTTTTCAGAATTATTATTTATTACAATATGATGTGAAAATGTACATTGTTCTCTTGGTTCTGCTCATTTCACTCTATGTGAGTTCATACAAATCCTCTCAGGTTTCTCTGAAGCCATTTTTTTTTCTTTTTACAGCACAGTAGTATTCCATTACATTTATATACTGCAATTTGTTCAGCCATTCTCCAGTAGATGGACATCTCCTTAGTTTCCAGTTCTTTGCCATGACAAAGAACTGCTATACATATTTTTGTACAGCTGTGTTCTTTACTTCTTTCCTCAATCTCTTTAGGATGTAGGCCTATTAGTGTAATTTCTGGGTCAAAGGATCTTCTAGAGGTTAGTACCTTTTCCAGCATAGTTCCCCATTGCTTTCTAGAATCGTTAAGTCAATTTGCAGCTCTACAAACAGGGTTTCAGCATTCCTATTTTCCCATAACTCCTCTAACATTTGTCATTTTTCCACTTTGCATGAGGTGGAACCTTAAAGTTGCTTTAATTTGTATTTCTCTGATATATTACTGATTTGGAACATATTTTCATATGACTATAGATAGTTTGTATTTCTTCCCTTGAAATCTGCTTGTCCATAACCCTTAACCACTTATTATTTAGGGAATGGCTCTTATTCTTATAAATTTGAATCAATTTTTTTATACATTTTGGAAAATCTTATCCAAGAAACCTACTGAAAAAACATTTTCCCATGTAACTCTTTCCCTTCTAATCTTAGCTGCATTGGATTTATATATGTAAAACTACTTAAATTTTATGTAATCAATATTGTCAACTTAATCTTTTATGATAATCTTCCTTTCTTTTTTTTTTTTTTTGGTGAGGCAATTGGGGTTAAATGACTTACCCAGGGTCACATAGCTCATAAGTGTCAAGTGTCTGGTCTGAGACCAGATTTGAACTCAGGTCCTCCTGACTCCAGGGCTGGTGCTCTATCTACTGCACCACCTAGCTGCCCCCTTCCTTTTTTTATTGATCTGAAAGGTAATGTCTTCCTTGTTCCTCTAATTTGTTTATAATGTGATTGTTTATATCTGGGTTGTTTCTGTTTGGAGCTTACCATGGTGTATGGTATGAGGTGCTGGTCTAAACCTAATTTCTGCCAGACTGTTCAGTTTTCCCAGCAACTTCTGTCAAATGGTGTGTCCTTAGCCTAGTATCTAGATTTTTTTTTAAACAGCCTTCCCCAGTAGTTACTTATCACCCAGATTGAAAGTAAGGAGCTGCAGCAGGTAAGGAGATCCTGTGAAATTTATCCTTTGGTGGCTACTTCTAGATTCTCACTGCTAAGGGGAAAAGACAAGAAAATGAATATTTCAGGGTTAAT